TTCTATAGGGCACGAGGGCTGGCATATGCGGCGCTCCCAGGCTGTCACTACCGCCAGAGGCAGTGGCAGGGCTTCTCTCCTGTCTGTATCGGCTTGGGGCGTGAAAGACCTGATGAGGCGGTCCGACAGCACCGCCCCCAGCTGTGCTAGGCCGGCTGTCTTGGCTGGCCAGGATAAGGCTTTGACCATGGGCTTAGGGCCGGTCTTGCACACCTCTCGATCTTCTTCAAGGCTGGAATGGCAGGCCCAGAGCAAGTCTCCAAGGCTAGCCACTGAGACCGTACTGATTTCCAGGCTGTTGAGGATGAGGTACTCCATGAATTGCCTGCAAGCCGACAGATATGTTTCCAGCGTGCCAGCAGTGAAAGGCGTAATGCTTTGTGCGATAAGCTGCGGGGAGTACTTAGCTTCCTGAAGGCTACGGAACAAGTCGGACGCGTCCCCAAGATGCTGAAGAAGTTCCTTCCACTGCTCCAAGGCTTTGGCCTTCCTGGAGGCCTCCTGGCCTTTCCTGGTAACCTGAGTAGGCCTGCCGCCAGGGCCCACAGGCTGAACCATGTCAGGCAATCGTGTGTGCCTGGCCGAGGTCGGGGCCGACGCCGGTCGTGTACATCGCAACCGGCACGGGCACCTGCAGCGAGCGGGGCGAGGCTGTGTACTGAGAACGGCGGGGCCGGGCGTATGGGCGGCGGCAAGGCTGGAGGAGGCAGGCCCGGTCGCGCTTTGTGCACCGACTGCATGTCTCGCCCTGCAGGGATAGGGTTCACTGTTGAAGCGAAGGCAGAAGAGTCTTTCCGAAAACGTCGGCCCACGAAGGCTTGTTCTGGTTTCTGCGACACAAGGCTCTCCCGGCTGGGGCTCCTGCTTCGATCTGGCTGAGGGGCAGTCTGTTGCCCGTCGTCCGGGTGCAGCAACCCCGAGAGAGCCCACAGTGGAGCCGGCGCCGGCTGTGAAGGCTGTTGACCGGGCTCCATGACTCTAGGTTGCTTAAGTCGTCTGGGTCTGTGTCTGGATCCATGATTGGCTAAGGCAGGCATTCGAAATCGGAAACAACTGAAGGCCACAACAGCTGAGGGCGCCACTGTAAGCCAGGTGGTCCTGCAAGAGAAGGCATTAAGGACAGAACGTTGAGTGTTTGGCAAAACGGCAAGCACCGCGGGCAAGCACTCTTTTTTGAAGCCGATGGCGGCTGGCTACGCGGCCGAAACTACCGTTTGCCTGAGCCTAAAGCAAAAGGAAGGCTGGCTGACCTGATATACAATTCTTGAAGAAGGCCGCAAAAGGCGAGTGTAAGGCTGCTAAGGCAAACGGCTACCCCGAGGATGCCTGCGGGGGTACGGCGGAAAACCATTCAAAAGGGCTTCGGCCAAGGTCTGTGAATTCTTTACAGCGCGAACACTGATGGCCGGAATGCTTATCCCTGTGCTCCACGGTTCCTTCTTGCATTTCGCGGCCACAGGCTGAATGGTAAGGACAAAAAGGCACGGTTGAGCAGGGAAGGCCGCATCGCATCTCTCCACGGCTTCCCATATAGTACACCCTGGCGAAGGCGGGGTCCAGCTCGAAGGTCTGCGGCAGGGTAAGGCTGGGGAGAATAATGCAGTTCCGCATGTTGGGGCAAGGCAATCTGATTTAGACATCAGGGGCACGCCATTGGTCCAAGGTCCTATCCTCAGAGTTCAAGATCTATGAGAGTTCTGTTTAAAAAATCAGGGGCGCTCCATCAGTCCAAGCGCCCCATCACCTCAAGGGCCTTTTCTCGGAGTTCAAGATCTTCAAAGGGGTTCAGACTTAAAAATCAGGGGCGACCCACCAGCCCAAGGCCTACTTTCGGAGCGATAGATCGGTAATGGTTCTGACTTTAACATCACGGGCGTGCCGTCAGTCCAAAGCCTTATTCTCAGAGTACCGGACCTATATAAGAGTTGTTTTTAGATAAATGCTTGAAAAAATCAGGGTCGCCCCATCAGTCCAAGGCCCTATCCTCGGAGTTGCAGATCTATACTATACGAGTTCTGATTTAAAAAATTAGGGGCGCCCATCACTCCCAGTTCAAGATCTTTCAAGGTTTTACCTTAAAAATTTAGGGCGGCCCATCAGTCCAAGGCCTTATCCTCGGAGTTCAAGATCTGTAAGAGGTCTGATTAAAAATCAGGGGCGCTCCATCAGTCCAAGGTCTTAGTCTCAGAGGTGAAGATCCATCAGAGTTCCGTTGACAAAAACAGGGGTGCACCATCAGTGCAAGGCCCTATCCTCGGAGTTCAAGATCTATAAGAGTTCTGATTTAGACATCAGGGGCGCGCCATTGGTCCAAGGTCCTATCCTCAGAGTTCAAGATCTATGAGAGTTCTGTTTTAAGAAATCAGGGGCGCGCCATCAGTCCAAGCGCCCCATCACTTCAAGGGCCTTTTCTCGGAGTTCAAGATCTTCAAAGGGGTTCTGACTTAAAAATCAGGGGCGACCCACCAGCCCAAGGCCTACTTTCGGAGCGATAGATCGGTAATGATTCTGACTTTAACATCACGGGCGTGCCGTCAGTCCAAAGCCTTATTCTCAGAGTACCGGACCTATATAAGAGTTGTTTTTGGATAAATCAGGGGCGCCCCATCAGTCCAAGGCCCCACCCTCGGAGTTCAGGATCCATGCGATTTCTGCTTGAAAAAATCAGGGTCGCCCCATCAGTCCAAGGCCCTATCCTCGGAGTTGCAGATCTATACTATACGAGTTCTGATTTGAAAAATTAGGGGCGCCCATCACTCCCAGTTCAAGATCTTTCAAGGTTTTACCTTAAAAATTTAGGGCGGCCCATCAGTCCAAGGCCTTATCCTCGGAGTTCAAGATCTGTAAGAGGTCTGATTAAAAATCAGGGGCGCTCCATCAGTCCAAGGTCTTAGTCTCAGAGGTGAAGATCCATCAGAGTTCCGTTGACAAAAACAGGGGTGCACCATCAGTGCAAGGCCCTATCCTCGGAGTTCAAGATCTATAAGAGTTCTGATTTAGACATCAGGGGCGCGCCATTGGTCCAAGGTCCTATCCTCAGAGTTCAAGATCTATGAGAGTTCTGTTTTAAGAAATCAGGGGCGCGGCATCAGTCCAAGCGCCCCATCACTTCAAGGGCCTTTTCTCGGAGTTCAAGATCTTCAAAAAGGCGCTGACTTAAAAATCAGGGGCGACCCACCAGCCCAAGGCCTACTTTCGGAGCGATAGATCGGTAATGATTCTGACTTTAACATCACGGGCGTGCCGTCAGTCCAAAGCCTTATTCTCAGAGTACCGGACCTATATAAGAGTTGTTTTTGGATAAATCAGGGGCGCCCCATCAGTCCAAGGCCCCACCCTCGGAGTTCAGGATCCATGCGATTTCTGCTTGAAAAAATCAGGGTCGCCCCATCAATCCAAGGCCCTATCCTCGGAGTTGCAGATCTATACTATACGAGTTCTGATTTAAGAAATTAGGGGCGCCCATCACTCCCAGTTCAAGATCTTTCAAGGTTTTACCATAAAAATTTAGGGCGGCCCATCAGTCCAAAGCCCCACCCTCGGAGTTCAAGATCTGTAAGAGGTCTGATTAAAAATCAGGGGCGCTCCATTAGTCCAAGGCCTTATTGTCAGAGGTCAAGATTTAGCAGAGTTCTGTTGGTAAAATCAGGGGTGCGCCATCAGCGCACTGCTGTATCCTCCGAGTTCAAGATCTATACGAGTTCGGATTTAAAAGAACAGGGGCACGCCATCATTGCCAGCTTCTTCTTGAAGTTCATGGATCTATAAGTTTTCTGATTTAAATATCAGCGGCGCTCCATCAGTGCGGTACCTTCCGGAGTCGCTGGCCGGGTTTGTCACACTGATGCCGCGGTTTCTCACATGCCCTCACGAATGGATGTGCTTCGTGGCCTCAACTCGTCGGGCTGCTGTCGCTCAGGCAAATTCGAAAGCCATTTTCGGCTTCAGGCACATTCTAGGCTTCAGGATGGGGTAAGACCGAAGTTCAGCTTCGGCGAATTCACGTGTCGACTTGCCACGTCAGGCACATTTTCGGCGTCAGCCTCCGCTCAGGCCGACTTGAAGCTTCAGCGAATTCAAGCGCCGAATTTCGGCGTCAGGCACATTTTCGGCTTCAGGTTGGGGCCGACCGAATTTCAGCTTCAGCGCACATTTTCGGGCTGACTGAATTTAAGCTTCCGCGAATTCGAGCGCCGAATTTCGGCGTCAAGCACATTTTCGGCTTCAGACTGGCAGCAGCCCGAATTTAAGCTTCAGGGATTTCGAGCGCCGAATTTCTGCTTCAGGCACATTTTCGGCTGCAGGCACGGAGCTGATGACAGCCCGTCGCTGTGCGCAGGTACAGTCTCAGCGCCGAATGTAGGCGTCAAGAGCAACTTAGGCGTCGGCCTTTGGTGAAGCTTCGATTGCCGGATCGAGTATCGGCGCCGAATTCGAGCGTCAGCCAATTTTCGGCCTCAGCCAGCACCGATCGAATTAAGGCGCCGAATTCCAGCTTCAGATTTTAAGCTTCAGGGGGGGTACGAAACCGGGACCCACTTCCCCGGGTCCCTGCATTTATGTATGCATGTATGTATGTATGCATGTATGTATGTATGTATGTATGTCTGTATGTATGTATGTATGTATGTATGTACATATGTATGTTTGCTTGTCTGATTGTTGGATCTTCGGTGCTGGTTGACTGTTTTTTGTGCATTGCCTGTTGCTTGCCTGTTGCTTGATGTTTGTCGCTGGTTTTGAATGTTGGTTGTTGACGGTTGTGGCGAAGATGTACTTCAACTTTCCATCGCCGTATGCAAAGTTGTCCCTAAGTGCGCAAGTTGCGTTTCGTCGAATTGGAACGTCAAACATAAGCTGCGTGAAAGCTTCGGAGTGAAAGCTTCGGACTGAAGGTGCTGTTCCTTGCCGTGCAATTTTGCCATCCACTTTGTCTGGTGATTCGTCTTTATCCCAATATGGAACCCTGAAAAAGTGGGGCTTGACATTACTTCGATGAGGTTCCAGAGCCAAGACGAACAGATCGGACACGTCTGCTGGCGCAGAGTCTCCTGTCGGGGCAGGGGCACGGGTTCTGGAAATTCGTGTTTCCTTTCCAAAGGGGTTGCAGTAGATACTTGTGGTTGGAGAGGTCATGGGCGGAGACAGAGAAGGCAGAGGTTAGATGTTCACATGAGCTTCCATCCCGACTGAAACGTGCCGTGGAGGCAAATGACTCTTCAAGCATCGCTTCTGCGATGAAGCCGTGGTGTCCGAAAACGAACGATTGTCGCCGTTTCCACGCGTCTTGGGGTGCAATGGAGGATTTCGATACTTCGTCCTTTCAGTGCACTGATTTCACAACCAAATTTAGCCGAAATTGTCAAAGGAGCAGAAAGGCAAACAACCATGCCGGCTTCATGGAGTGGTTTACGCTGGCCCTGTTGTTTCCGAGTGTGGAGGACATACCGCAGTAGAATCTCAGCATTTATATATATATATATACATACATACATACATGTTCATACAACCTGGTGAGCTTTGGCACAGCGTCTTCTAAGGATTACAGCTGCATGAGGACCGACAAACAGCAGGCTGCGCGCGACTGAGTTTAGGGTTCATGGTGCAAAGATGGTTGCCGAGAGAGGCGTAGATATCAGTACACCAAAGGCCGACTTGCTGATCAGTGCCCACTCAAAGCGGACGGCATCGGCATGTCAATTATGCCAGCTCGCACAGAATCCGTCCACCACGATGTACGCTGTACAGAGGGACGATTGGGCTGGCAGTCGTGTCGGACAAACCGTGTTGAGCTTGGCGTATGCAGCCCGGAACAACATGAAGTTCGGAGGTTTTTTACCGGCATTATCCAAACCTCATACACTTCATGCAGGTGATGTGCCGGCAGCCATGAGCGCTTTCCTAGGTTGCAACTATTCGGACCTGGTTGTGCAGGCCGAAAATGTCCAGTTTGATCGCTGTTGGAATGGAGTAGATACGCTTGGTAGTGGCTTCGCTGGCCAGGAGATCCTTCTGGAGGAGTGCAGGGGCGTGGAGTGCCGAGATCAGGCGGTTCTCACCTCATCGTTTCTGTCAGAGTTGCGAAAGTCCACCTTGATTTTGACGCACTCTACACCTTACTTCGAAGGGAACGGCATGAAGGTTGCCATTCATATGCGCCGAGGGGATCGAGTTCCACAGGGCTCTGCAAAGGATGTGAACAGCAAGCACTATGCATCCGACGCCTTATACCTGAATTTCTTGACACTGCTCCGGCAGCATATGCAGAATGCTGAGATTCATGTCTTCAGCACAACGGAGCGTGACACCACAAGCGAAGATTTCGATGTCTATAGAAACCTTGGCGTGCAAGTTCACTTGGATGGTGACATTGTTGGAGACTGGGCTCATATGGCTCAGGCCGATCTGCTTGTCACTGCTCCCAGTACCTACTCCTGGGTAGCTGGCCTGCTCAACGAAGCTGTGCTTAAATAATTTCTCTTTCTATGCAAGGTTCTATGCCAGACAGGAACTGTAGCACTCTTCTGTTTTTGGCTACTAGCTTAGCAGAAACAAGCCAGGAGAAGTGTGTTGCCATTTTCAATATCTTCACGCTCCCCATCGTAGTGGACTGGATTGAACTGAGTGAGGACCTGCACGAGTTCAAAGACATTGAGAGCTGCCTCTCAAAGAGAGGCTTCTAAAAACTAGGCTTGGAAATTAGCCGGTGGCCAATGGGTCAGAGTTTCAAGAGCAGCCGAATGTTGCTCTGCGTCGACAGGGAAGAACATGCACGTACCGCTCTCCAATCGAGAACACACCACCTGCAGGCAGCGAGGTAGGGATAGACGGGTTTGACGATGTGAATCATGTGACGCTTGAGATTCGGCGCAGGATAGTCGAGTGTGACACCATGCCATTGCTGTAAGTACCTATGTTGCCACCTGTAGGCGTACGGGATTTTAGGCTTCCACCCCCCCTCTTGCAGAGCTTCCAAATCACTCCTGGGGGGGCGGGGGGAGATGAGATGAGATTAAATGAAATGAAATGAATGGAACTAATGCATGAATGAATGAAGTAAATGAACTAATGCATGAATGAATAATTCATGAATGAATGAATGAGATGAATGAATGATTGAATGAGTGAATGCTGGATGGATGGATGGATGAATGAATAAAAGAGTTAATGAATGAACAAAACTCAGAAATAGTTTTATGTAGTAGAATAAAATGAAGTGAAATGCAACGAAGTGCCGTGAAATGCATTGAAATGCACTGGGACGAAGGGAACTTAAGTAAAGTAAAGTGACGTGAAGTGAAATAACGTGAAATGAGGTGTAGTGAAATGACATGACGTGACATGACTTTACATGCAATGCAACGAATCAATATAGTACTGAAGGAACGAGGAACGACCCCGTCGACAGGGTGTGTGGTGGGGTGTGACAGAATCCGTTGACAGCGCCTCTGGTGGGGTGTGACTGGGCCTGTTGACAGGGCCTGTGGTAGGGTAGGGTCGGACAGGGCTTGTCGACGGGTGGGTGAGGGTGCACAGACCCTGTCCACAGCGCAGGGGTCGATAGGGCCCTTTGCAGGCCTATGAGGGCGCCTGCACAGACGCTGTGCAGACAGGGCCTGTGCTGCGTAGGCGCTGTCATATGCTGTGTAACACTCCGAATTTTCTCCATGCTGGCCGTGCATGGGTGCACGTCGATTGCAAGTCGCGATCCGAGCATTGAACCCGATTTGAGCATCGCGATTCAAGCACCCAAAACTCGAGCACCCGCCTTTCGGGCACGGGTGATTCAAGCCCTCACGATTCAACAATGGTTCAAGCACACGCGATACTGCACCCATTGCCATTCAAGGCCTCGCGAGCGTGATTCCTGCACATTCCATCATTTTGGGTGTTTCTGTTCCAGGCTGAGAAAGCTTGAGGCGAGTAGTTGGGTGCAGCTACGGAGTGGGGCATTCGCGGCTGAGGGTTTGGATTTAGTTCAGGATTTACAGTTGAAGGGGCTAGTTTGGCAGGGCTGGATTGGCATTTGTGGGTCCAGCGTGCATATAACTTTCGGGTTCATGCTTCTCACAGTTCGGCTTGTTGGAATGTTTGGTTTTTTTGGTCAAACACCCGGAGCTGCAGCTGAACAACCTGAGGCCGAAGCGACAACCTGCTGTCAGACGCACGGTATGAGGCAGAATTTGTGCGCGGCTTTTTTTGGGGATGGCTGAATGTTGTTGGAGAATAAATCAAACATGTGCAGTACACGCGGCTGTGTGCAGAGGACGGGATGAGGTATGCCTTGCTGGTCAAAGCAAGTGAGTAAATGAAGCCTAGCAAGAAAGCCTGAAGGAAGGATTTTTACTGTAGCATGTACGACAAGTGCTTTACGAGAGAGGAAGCTTTGCAAAGCGATACTTATCTAGAGTCTAGAGACCACGTCCGAACATGATACCTTCATGCTTACATACAGCTTACCTTGCGGAGCCTGGGTCGGACGAGGACAAGCATGTGCATGATGGGTGTGAAGATGAGAAATGCGATCACGGCCGCTCGAACTTCAGTAGCTCATCAGACCAGCTAGGTTGAGGTGTCACACCGCACCGTTTGCATAATGGGTGCCTTTGCGTTCCCCATGCGCCTGCTGGCAGCGTTGCTTGGCTTAGGCTTTCGCTGCGCAGCTGATTCCTGTGGTAAGGCTGATGACAGTGCTTTGCTTCAGGTCACAAGGTCATTCACACAGGAAGACATCTCCCTTCCCAACGCATGCAACTTCACTTCGGAGACCATGTGGCCGAATGAACTGCAGCAGCCGTACGTGGGAGTGCTGAAGCAGTCGTACAGGAAGGTGGAGCAGTTGCTGGCGGAAACTCTTTCCAAGGCCCCGGCTCCGTGTCAGGATGTGGTGTTGAAGATGAACATATACCCCAAGACTTCAGGCAAAGCCATTCCAAAAAAGGGAGCGGCCTATGCCGGCCAAGCCGGCTGTGGCGTATATCTTGTCAGTGATTGGGCCGCCTCCACGTTGGCATCAGAAGGCTCGACCGCCAATGGATGGGTGCTGATGCCTTTTCCTACGGATGCATATTTGGCAGAAGTACCACAAGAAAGGAGAAGCAACGAGGGGCAGCGCATGGCCAAGGTCCGTGCGGGAGGGCAAGCAGTTCGAAACCCTAAGCCGTGTCTTTGCTTGGTTTTGACCATCGGATCGTAACCATTTCTCCGCAGTTTCAACTGCCTCAATGAGTCGATATCAGCGTTAATTAATTAATACATCCAGCATCCTTTCGCTGATCCCCTGAAGGCGATTCGCGTGGCATTGCCACTCCTCGTGCCTTCCTACATAAAACGGGTAACATATGCAGACACGAAGTGCGACTCGAACAAGTTTCTGCAAGATGCCTTACCCGTGGCCGCTGGAGCAGACTTGGTGCTGTTGAAGCATCCAAATAGGTTCGGCCATCATCTTGAGGAGGAGTTTGAGGCAGTCAGGGTCTGGATGCGCATGCGGCACGAGAATCACTTCGTGTTTGATGACGTGAAGAAACTCGAAGACTTCCTAGGACCGGACATGATCAACAAAAACGTGAGCCTCTCCGACAATAAATGCATCCTGTGGCACCAGGGATCGGCCATTCAAGCATTTTCGCGGACGTGGTCTTGGTACCTTGCAGGTTTCTCAATGCGAACCCAGCTTTCCTTCAATGCAGTCCTTGACGCTTGTGGCCACAACATGACGGTGAAGTTTCTGCCGTGGATGCAGAATGTGTAATTACAGAGCCACACGACACCGAAAGGCGGCTGCACAGAATCCGTCGAACCTGTAAAATCAGTTCAGGCAGCTCCAGCAAAGCTGGATTCGGCGTCCTATTGTTTGTCTTCGGCGCTGCTTGCAAATATCTCGCACCGCAAGCTCCGCAGTCTCGAATCCAAAATCCGAAAGCCTCACTGACGTAAGAGAAGCCTCACATGCACAGTGCTAGCTTCAGGATTGGGACCTATGGCCTTAGATATCTTAGATCAATTCCAGGCTCCATGAAGCTTTGGCTTCAGACGTCTGCAGGCTAAGAGATTCCCACGGAGCAGAGCGGCCTTGAAGTCCCCAAAACCAACCTAGAAACCCGAAATCAAGAAACCCCAAGCCTTGAACCCTAAACTGAAGCTGGCAGGCTGATTTGCCCTCATATTGCTCTGCATCGGCCTGAGCGTCGCTTTGCCTCTGGGGCCGTACTATTTCCAGTGCCTTGGAAGAAGGGTAAACCTGGAGATGTTGGGGGATGTTCCTTGCTTTTCCCCTCTTCAAGCGACGCGGACTTCAGGTAGCAAAACAACTGGTTCTCCACACCCAGAGAACACCCAGAATCTTTCCACGGGCGGGGGAATCCGTGCCGAGGCGAGGTCGGGTCATCCCGTGTAATCAGAAACGTCGCAATTGTCAGGAACTTTTTTCTAGAAATGATTCCCATAAGTTTGAACACCTGGGAATCATTTGTCCACGAGGCTCCGAACCACTTGGAATCATTAGGAGAAATGATTCCTGCAGGGCCTGTCCCCCAACAAAGAAGGCGCCATGGCCTTGAACCCGATCGCTAACAATCTCCGTCTTCATTCAGCAGCTCCAGACGCCTCGGTCCGAGGCACCGCTGTGGCATCAACAATAACTTGGAGTGCCAGATTGTGGTGCAGCATATTTGGAGGTTACCTGACACATTGATTGCCTGCATGTTTTTCGTCTGCTTGGTGCAGCCGGGGATTCCATTGCATGTGCTTGTACCTTGGAACCTGGGAAGACATGTTTGCTCAGTTGCCATGGAGCCTGGCATTCTGAGTGTTCATGCAGGGTCATCTGGTAGAAGCCGTTCTGCTCCGCCACGGAAGCCCCGGTCAAAGGTCACAAGGAGAGGAGGGAGAAGCATGGCATTAGGAGCGACTAGTGGGCTCTACTTTAGAGCCCAGTCCGGGGGGGTTCAGCCGGATCCTCGACGGAGGCTGTGATCTTGCCTCTCAGACACCAATTTCCTGGCTGTCAAAAGCCATTGCCGCCCATCGGGCAGAGGCGGCGACAAACGCCACGAAGACGTAGAAGATACAGAGGTCGAAAAAGCCGATCAGTGACGAGTAGGCGTCGCAGATCAGAGCCGGCCAGTTTCGACAGTGCGTAAGCAAATGCCGGTCGGGGCATGCCGTCCCATGCAGCCAGTGGCCATCGCACCTGACGAAACACCGGCCAATGTAACGCTTGTCGGTGGTCGGCGGGAAGGAGATGGCGGCAAAGAAGACGAATCCAAAGCCCAACCGAAAACGGCCACAGAAATGCTGGCGGTGGGTCTTGGGCAGCAGCCGCGGGCATATTTCCGTTGAGGGCAGGCTGGACGTCGTCGCCGGTCGGGGCGAAGTGGTGCGATCAAGGCTCGCTCAGCCACCATCCTCGCGCAGATCTATACGAGGCTTGGAGACGAACAGGCCGTCATCCGTTTTCGAACGACCAAAAGGCACCGCACCTTTGTAGATTTTGGCAAACACGTCGCGAGCTTGGACTTTGTTTGCATGTTTTTGCCTAATTACATGGTCAGGTGCCTGCAGGAATTAGGTGGAGGTGATCTGGTTGTATGCAATCAAATCCGAACCAATCCACTGTACTGTTCATACTGATTTGCTTGATTCTGAACGCGACGTCTGGGATCAAGTATGTACAGATTCGTTGTGACGCGTGATTCGTGGTGATGATAGGTGCGTGAAGCACATTGGCATATGGGATGCCAAGCATTTGGGCTGTAGGTCAGCTTAGGTGCAGAAGGCTCCCCTTTGGGAGTTTGCAGGCACTGTCCTTACGAGTCGTTTCAGTGTCATAGGTATACCCGAATCTTCGTTTCCACAGTGACAGATCGCTTCTCGCAGCTGCTGCCTCCTCCCCCTTTGCCTGCATGAAGATTCGAAGTCAGATGAGACTGTTTGTCCGGCAGACATGAACATGCAGCAAATCCCTTTTCCCACGCCCTCAGTTTCAGACACTGATTTTAACTTTTAAGAGGTTAATCCTTACCAACATCTAACCGGGTTTCATATGATTGAAGACAGGTCGATCATCTAGCAGCTTGCCGGCGAGAAAGCGTGGCTTTCTGGTGGTGCCGCTGCGTCGTCTGCAGGAACTTTTGAGCAGGCGTAAGAAGGGCAAATTGCCGTTTCCGAATGCGCCCGTAATCCTTTCGAGAGGGCTGCAGGAGGTCTGGCGATTCACGGATCAAATCCTTCGCTTGTTTGTGGACTTCGACAGTGTAGGTCTTTTCGTCAATTGTGGGTTGTGACTTCCTAGACCGCAACTTGGACCCGGAGCTTTTCGCTACAAGCTTGGCATGTCGTGGGAGCTGAGGCTGTTTCCTCACAAGCGGTTTCAGACGTCTCGACATCCGCTTTTGCCGAGATTCTGGCTCAAGAACCCATCACCGAACCGCACAGCTGTGATGCCTCAATGTGTGCTTCGCCACATCTGCGCCTTCGCATCTCTTTTTGCGGCTGTGAGAGGCTTGACATTCTGCGGTGGCTGAAGAGTTAGCGGGAGGTTCTGTAAGTTTGTGTTGCATGCAGTCGTTACGGGCGGCTTGGATGCTCCCCGCATCTTTCGCATGCAGTTTTGCTCGAAGTTACCTTGGTTAACGATTTTCGCTTGCAACATGTCTGACCGTTGTCATGATCCTGCAGCTGAAAGATGACAGCAAATCGAGGGAAGCTGTGCTCGGAGCCCGGACTCAAGCCGCTTCATCAGCATCTTCTCCCACAACTGCATCATTTGACACCAGCATGGATTAGCGAGTCCATCAGGACCACCGATCGCAACATTTCTCATTTGCAAGCCCGTGTCGTTCCAATAGACGCAGCTCTTTCAGTGACCCAGCCTAACAAGGCTCGCCAGTGCTGCGTGCCTGCAGATTATTGAACTGTTGAGGGTTCATGCACGGCTCCTGTTTTGTCCCCCCCCCCCCCCCCCCAATACTTAGACTTAAACCAAAACCGATCCCCATTTCGCCAATCTCCGGCCACCGTGCGCATACGATTGTGTTTGACACGGGAACAATGCTCTTCTGCCCCTTTGAGCCCCCAGAAATTGTAGAACACGTCTTCATTGCCTCCCGTCCCCTCCACGGCATTGGGCTATGCTCACCCGCCTGAAGGAACCCACGACTTGAAGATGGAAATCGTGTTTTTTCTGACCCTCCCCTCCTCTCCTCGGCTAGAAGCACCATCTCGTACAAGTTCGAGTGTCGGTTCCCGGGTTGAGATGTCGAGGGGACGGGACTGGACTTCCAGATCCAAGGACAACGAGGACACCTGTTCTTTTTGCCTTCATTTCCTCATCCTCGGCTTCCGTTATCCCCTCCTGTCATTCCGTCCTCGTGCTATGCAAATATAACCCTGCCCTCTCTTGCGTTTTCTAGTTCACATGTGTCCATCGCAAACAGCCATCACCTATCATCTGTTTCTACAACTGGAACGGCCGAAATGGTGACCAGTCAAAAAAGAGGCATGTGTAACAGACTGCACATACATCTGTAAGTGCACAAGACACGAGCGATATAAACATATATGCATGCATGCATGCATACACACACACATATATATATATATATATATATATATACTTATATAATCCCATTTTATGTTATCTCATATTGAACTCTTATGTTATGTTATATGTTATTTTGTCATATTGTCTCAGTGCACTGAGTACTATAGTACACCGCAGCTTTGTGTATTTTATGATACCATATTGTTTTCTTATGTTTTATCATATCATGTCATAGTACAATACCGTATGTTACATCATATTGTATTATATACTGTATTATGCTATAGTATATCATATTACATCAGATTGTAGCATTTATGAAACAGACTATATACTATAGAACAGTGAGACATGTGTATGTGTGTGTATATATACATGTACGTATGTGTGTGAGGCGGGGGCCTTTGCTTATAATGTGTCTAGTGTTCGTTGAGTGAATACTAGCCGTACTCGCCCACACACTGCACCACCGCTACTGCTGCCACTGCTGCTGCTGCTACTGCTACGACGACGACTACCACTACTACTACTGCTACTACGGCCACCACCACCACCACCACCACCACCACCACCACCACCACCACGACTACTCCTACTACTACTACTACTACTACTACTACTGCTGCTACTACTACTGCTACTGCTACTGCTACTGCTACTGCTACTGCTACTGCTACTGCTACTGCTGCTACTCCTACTCCTACTCCTACTCCTACTCCTACTCCTACTCCTACTCCTACTCCTACTCCTACTCCTACTCCTTCTCCTTCTCCTTCTCCTTCTCCTTCTCCTTCTCCTTCTCCTTCTCCTTCTACTCCCACTCCCGCTCCCACTCCCACTCCTACTCCTACTCCTTTTTTAATTCTACCCCCCCTACTACTACTACTACTACTACTACTACTACTACTATTATTACTACTACTACTACTACTACTACTACTACTACTACTACTCCTTCTGCTACTGCTGCTGCTACTGCTACTACTACGGCGACTACTGCTACTACTGCTCCTGCTGCTACTACTACTACTACTACTACTACTACTACTACTACTACTACTACTACTACTACTACTACTACTTCTACTACTACTCCTAGTCCTAGTCCTAGTCAAGTCCTACTCCTACTTCTACTCCTACTCCGACTCCTCCTGCTCTGCTCCTGCTCCTGCTCCTGCTCCTGCTCCTGCTCCTGCTGCTGCTGCTGC